TTCAGGAGTGATAAGATAGTATGTGATTAATGATCCATGCGGGAATTTATCTAAACCCCGGATCTATGATCTTTACTAAGATACTGACACGATACCTATTATCTACGTATCTATGTATTACCTGACACAGGATACCTATGTATCTTTGTATACCTGACTACATCTCTCTGTGGTTCTTGTTCAGGTGCTTTGGCCAGCAGGGTCAGAAGGAAGGACACGTTAGCTTTGAAACTGAGTAACCGACATGCCCCAGAGAAAGATGCTCGGGAGGACAAGTCCAGCGGTCACACGGGAGGACGCACTCCGGGACACACACACCAAGGGTCGACAGGGCTGACGTGGCAGAGCAGGGAGCAATGGGAGGCCATACGCACACAAATAGGCTCTGCACTCACAAGGTAATCGATAAAGCCACACACACACACACGTCTCACTATCATTTTCTTCTCGCTCTTTCCTCTCTCTCTCTTCTCTCTCTCCACATAGACACACCAAATCTAACACAAGGTTGATGTGATGCTGATGTTCTAACTGTTATCCTCTAGGCGTCTCAGCCAGAGACCCAGTGCAGAGGAGCTGGAGCAGAGAAACATCCTTCAACGTAAGTCTTTCCAACTCTCCATCACAATTTTTCCTTCCCTGAGTATGGGAATGAAGCGACAGGTGAAAGCTTTGTGGTGGAGGCGTGGAGCCCTTGCCTTCACCTGTCCGATCACGTCTGATCAGGGATAACTTCAAGGAAGGGAGAAAGGAATAATGCACTTTTATGGAATTGGAATGGGGCCTAGGTTTTCACCTAATCACTGCTCAATCCCCACTGGTATTTCTCTCTCAGTAAGGATTCTTGTTATTTATATAAATGAGGCCACATTCCAAGAGCATGATGCCACTTCTTATCAATGTGGATTAGGAAAACACATTTCTCAATCGGTGTACTTTTGTATTTGTACCTAGTACCTTTTATTAAATCCCATTGGAAAATCCCATTTTTGTGAAATGGACAACAATTGCACAATTTGGTGAATGTCTGCACAGTGTTCTAAACGTTGGTTTGACTCTCTCTCTCCTTTCCAGCCAAGAACCAGGTAGACAGGCAGGCGGAGGTCAGAGAGATCAAACGTAGGCTCACCAGGAAGGTAAGACCAGTGACACACGCACTCACTACTGTTACCTGTTATAAGCTAGTTCTCAAATCAAATCAAATGTTATTGGTCACATGCGCCGAATACAACAGGTGCAGACATTACAGTGAAATGCTTACTTACAGCCCTTAACCAACAGTGCATTTATTTTTAACAAAAAAAGTAAAAATAAAACAACAACAAAAAAAGTGTTGAGAAAAAAAAGAGCAGAAGTAAAATAAAGTGACAGTAGGGAGGCTATACAGTGGGGGAAAAAAGTATTTAGTCAGCCACCAATTGTGCAAGTTCTCCCACTTAAAAAGATGAGAGAGGCCTGTAATTTTCATCATAGGTACACGTCAACTATGACAGACAAATTGAGAAAAAAAAAATCCAGAAAATCACATTGTAGGATTTTTAATGAATTTATTTGCAAATGATGGTGGAAAATAAGTATTTGGTCACCTACAAACAAGCAAGATTTCTGGCTCTCACAGACCTGTAACTTCTTCTTTAAGAGGCTCCTCTGTCCTCCACTCGTTACCTGTATTAATGGCACCTGTTTGAACTTGTTATCAGTATAAAAGACACCTGTCCATAACCTCAAACAGTCACACTCCAAACTCCACTATGGCCAAGACCAAAGAGCTGTCAAAGGACACCAGAAACAAAATTGTAGACCTGCACCAGGCTGGGAAGACTGAATCTGCAATAGGTAAGCAGCTTGGTTTGAAGAAATCAACTGTGGGAGCAATTATTAGGAAATGGAAGACATACAAGACCACTGATAATCTCCCTCGATCTGGGGCTCCACACAAGATCTCACCACGTGGGGTCAAAATGATCACAAGAACGGTGAGCAAAAATCCCAGAACCACACGGGGGGACCTAGTGAATGACCTGCAGAGAGCTGGGACCAAAGTAACAAAGCCTACCATCAGTAACACACTACGCCGCCAGGGACTCAAATCCTACAGTGCCAGACGTGTCCCCCTGCTTAAGCCAGTACATGTCCAGGCCCGTCTGAAGTTTGCAAGAGTGCATTTGCATGATCCAGAAGAGGATTGGGAAAATGTCATATGGTCAGATGAAACCAAAATATAACTTTTTGGTAAAAACTCAACTCGTCGTGTTTGGAGGACAAAGAATGCTGAGTTGCATCCAAAGAACACCATACCTACTGTGAAGCATGGGGGTGGAAACATCATGCTTTGGGGCTGTTTTTCTGCAAAGGGACCAGGACGACTGATCCGTGTAAAGGAAAGAATGAATGGGGCCATGTATCGTGAGATTTTGAGTGAAAACCTCCTTCCATCAGCAAGGGCATTGAAGATGAAACATGGCTGGGTCTTTCAGAATGACAATGATCCCAAACACACCGCCCGGGCAACGAAGGAGTGGCTTCGTAAGAAGCAATTCAAGGTCCTGGAGTGGCCTAGCCAGTCTCCAGATCTCAACCCCATAGAAAATCTTTGGAGGGAGTTGAAAGTCTGTGTTGCCCAGCGACAGCCCCAAAACATCACTGCTCTAGAAGAGATCTGCATGGAGGAATGGGCCAAAATACCAGCAACAGTGTGTGAAAACCTTGTGAAGACTTACAGAAAACGTTTGACCCGTGTCATTGCCAACAAAGGGTATATAACAAAGTATTGAGAAACTTTTGTTATTGACCAAATACTTATTTTCCACCATAATTTGCAAATAAATTCATTAAAAATCCTACAATGTGATTTTCTGGATTTTTTTTCCTCATTTTGTCTGTCATAGTTGACGTGTACCTATGATGAAAATTACAGGCCTCTCTCATCTTTTTAAGTGGGAGAACATGCACAATTGGTGGCTGACTAAATACTTTTTTTCCCCACTGTATATACAGGGGGGGTACCGTTGCAGAGTCAATGTGCGGGGGCACCGGCTAGTTGAGGTAGTTGAGGTAATATGTACATGTGGGTAGAGTTAAAGTGACTATGCATAAATAATTAACAGAGTAGCAGCAGCGTAAAAAGGATGGGGTGGGGGGGCAGTGCAAATAGTCCGGGTAGCCATTATTAGCTGTTCAGGAGTCTTATGGCTTGGGGGTAGAAGCTGTTGAGAAGTCTTTTGGACCTAGACTTGGCACTCCGGTACCGCTTGCCGTGCGGTAGCAGAGAGAACAGTCTATGACTAGGGTGGCTGGAGTCTTTGACAATTTTGAGGGCCTTCCTCTGACACCGCCTGGTATAGAGGTCCTGGATGGCAGGAAGCTTGGCCCCAGTGATGTACTGGGCCGTACGCACTACCCTCTGTAGTGCCTTGCGGTCGGAGGCCAAGCAGTTGCCATACCAGGCGGTGATGCAACCAGTCAGGATGCTCTCGATGGTGCAGCTGTAGAATTTTTTGAGGATCTGAGGACCCATGCCAAATCTTTTCAGTCTCCTGAGGGGGAATAGGCTTTGTCGTGCCCTCTTCACGACTGTCTTGGTGTGTTTGGACCATGATAGTTCGTTGGTGATGTGGACACCAAGGAACTTGAAGCTCTCAACCTGTTCCACTACATCCCCGTCGATGAGAATGGGGGCGTGCTCAGTCCTCTTTTTTTTCTCTCACTTAACAGAACATTTACATACAGAGGATTAACTAGAGTGAATTGTTATAAGACGAGCTGAGAGAAGATAGAAGGTAGTCCTCTTCAAGGGATACTGGCAATGAGGCCCTTTGTCTACTTCCCCAGATTCAGATGAACTTGTGGATACCAATTTGGCTCGCAAAACTACCTCTAACTTCCTTCATACTGAACACAGAGACATACAAATGGTATTCACGAGTTCATCTGACTCTGGGGAAAGTAGATAAAGGGCCTCATTGCCAAAATCCCGAAGTATCCCTTTAAACTCTGTATTTAACTCCTCCTCTAGCTGAGTCAGAGGCCCACGGTTGCTGAGCTACAGGCCAGAAAGATCCTGCGCTTCCACGAGTATGTGGAGGTCACCACAGCCAATGACTACGATCGGCGCGCGGACAAGCCCTGGACCAAGCTAACACCCGCCGACAAGGTACAATCAGCTGTCACTCATAGCTCCCTAAATCACGGCTTGTAATGCACTTATTTATTGACACCAGTATGTCTTATTGACCAGTAAAGGAAGTATATATTTATGTGTTTACTTTAGCATTTAGATGCTGTCTTATGCGTCTTAATACAGTTAACTTTCCCTCCTTCGTCCAGGCTGCTATTCGGAAGGAGCTCAATGACTTTAAGAGCTCTGAAATGGAGGTTCATGAAGACAGTAGGATCTATACAAGGTACTTCCTCAGCCTATGGACAACATGAAGTTATATACACCATTACATAATATAGATCTTGAATTAACATACCAAGACATTTGTTTCGGTCCCTTTAATTGGTGGCTCTTACACAGCCGGAAAATACCTTGTTGAGTTGTTGTGATTGATCAACTTCTAATTGATGTCCCTTTCTTTAGGTTCCACCGGCCTTAGCATCCACCCCATACTGGAAAGCACGTACTTAACCAGCGGCCGGCAGAGTCTCTGGAGAGGAGTCGCGGGGTCTTGGTGCTCCCTAAACAGACTGCCTTTTTATGTTGCTGAATGTACTGTACAGATCATCAAGGAAGGCCCGAGAATTGACTCCACTAAAAACAGGGGGACTGAGGACCAGATGCAGTATTTCTCCCGGACAGTAGGGGAGCCAAGTGCCAACAAAGTGGAGAGGTGGCAGAGGGGCTTGACCGATCGGGCTGACTGGGAGACACTCTGCCAACGTGTGTTATCCCTCAGGGACTTGGTTCCACTGACAACGACATTTTGCCGCCTCTTTCGATGTTGCCTTTTTTTCTGCTTTTACTCTGTATGGCACAGTTAACCCATGTTGCAGAGATGTAAATGTAATAACATTACAGTAATAATAGTCATAATAAAGACGGCTACAATAATAAACAATAATAAATGTTAGAGACTTGAAGCTGCAGAAGAGGACGAGGAGGAAGAAAACTGTGGGATTTGCCATTCCCAAGACTGGAAAAGCTCTGGGATAATTGTGTACTTGTGTATAGATTGCTGTGATTTCTTAGACTGAAACTTTGGAGAGTTCTAATAATGACAACTGTAATGCATAATATTTTGATCACATCAGAAATTACCGCTTTTATTTGAACCTGTTTTATAGTGTGCATTTGTACATTTTAGTCATTTAGCAGACGCTCTTATCCAGAGCGACTTACAGGAGCAGTTAGGGTTAAGTGCCTTGCTCAAGGGCACTTCAACAGATTTTTCACCTAGTCGGCTTGGGGATTCAAACCAGCAACCTTTCGGTTACTGGCCCAACGTTCTTTACCGCTAGCCTGCCTTGCCTGTATTTGTATTTGGTTGTGACGTGGGGTGAGCATTTGAGCTTTAACTAGTCATAGGAAAGAAAACAATGAGGAGGTTGTTGGTGTGCTATTCTTTTTTGTATTTATTTTGTATTTTTTTGGCCAGACACTGATCTCCATGCTGTGACAGTATAATGATGGTTTTTCATATCGCAGATTTCTTCAATTTGCTGCATGAGCCAACACACAGTGCAATTATTGAATCAACACATTTTAATTTTTTATTTACGCTTTTCTTTATTTGATTTTTTTGTACTTCTCTACATAGGTCAAACCATGCAATGCTGCAATGAATAGCTGTTTTAAAATGCTAAGATCAAGATGATGGCATCTTAAATAGAACAAAAGTTAAACTGTTACAAATCTTTACAGAATGTATCAAAGTGCAGTTACCATAATCAAACATGAAAAAAACACAATTAGTGGATTTTACGGTTGACAGGGAATCCTTTCAGCAGGAACATACTTTTTTTATCTGGAGAAATGTATCATGCGTTGTCTTCTGGTCAGTAGATTACAGGGTCCTTTGCTGTACAGATGCATTTAGGTTACTGTTGTGTATATATTTTTCTTCCTTATTATTTGAAAATAAATGTTAAATATAATAAAGTATTATAGGTTGCTATTTTTTTAAGCACAAAATATTACTGTATGATTAAACACTACAACAATGGGAATATGAAAGTGTACCTGTTAAGTTTTACTTTGTTTTTTAATGAAATGTGGAATTTTAGTAACTGACTTTCTGTTTAGATGTAAATAGTCACCTCTAATTAAAAACCTTACAAATCTCTCTTTGAGTCTTGTTGTTGGACTCATGCCGCGTTCACGTGCTAGTCGGAACTAGGAAACTCAGAAATGTTTGACTTGCTAACTGTTTGCAGTTACACGTGCTGCGTTCAACCAGTTAACATTTGAGTTTCCTACTTCCGACTAGCGCTTGAATGTGTCATTTAAAGCTCACTTATGTGAATAAATATATGTGTACAGGGTGAAGTGATGGTTCACTCCAGAATGAATTGCCTAATTTAGATAAGAGTCCATGTCCCACCTCCCATCTTCAGTTGTGAAGATCCAGCTAAATCCTGTAATTCCAAATGAATGGGAAAAATGGGACTTCATCATTCAAGATGGTGCAATATCTCTCATTCGTCTGGGATTGAGGCATATAGCTGAATCACAAAAACCTACAAGTGGATCTAGACTAGTTAAAGGCCCAATGCAGCTATTTAAAAATATATATATTACTGTAATAGATTTCCATTAAAATTGTTGAAAGAAATAGCTGTTTAGCCTAAAAATAATTCTCAAGCAAGAATTTTGCTAGGACTAACCAAGTTTCCATCCAGTTTTTATGCGAGTAAGTCATACCGTATAAAAAGAAATCACGACAGCTGTGATGGAAACAGGAAGTTTCGGTACAATTTTATAAATGCTGCCATAATTTGTTCGTAAATATCGAGGGTCTTATTCTGGTGGCATTATGGTCGAAGCTTGACTACTGTTTGACAATAAAAATATTCTCATGTAGGCTAGTTCACCTGCACAGCCTACCCACACTGTATCAGTGCCAGCTGTTGGCTAGAGCGCACGTGCCGAGACCAGAGTAGGCACATTTGCTATTTAACGCAACAGTTTTTGTGGCAAAACTATCGGTAGAGTTGAAAATGCGATGTAATTTGATTTTTATTCAGTACATGAAAACGTATGCAAAAAAGTACATTTTGTGTGCACTATGTCATCACGCACTGATTTCTATCCGCAACATATTTTCTTTATGCGTATTTTTGAATATTGTCTTGGTAGGGAGGGGAAAACTAGCTGTTATTGGCAGAGGTTTGGATCTCTCTTTGTTATTGGTCTATTAACCAATTTACTGCATCGAAAGCCGACACTCCCACCCATGCAAACCTGCTGATTAGAAGGTCCTGTGTAGATTGCTTTTTCAACTATCAGGAAATGACACAACACATTTTTTGCACACTTAGTGTTTGTTTCATCAGCTGATACAATTTTGACTAGCTGGGCCTTTAAATGCCCGCACCAGTAGAAATCAATTTTTTAGAGCTGAAAGAAGATAGCCAGAGTTTACCCATGATGTTGCACAAAGATGTAAGACAATAAGTCATCGTTTTAGTCAAAGTATGATATATTTGGGCTTGAAGTGCCATATCCGAATGTTAGACTTCAGATTTTCCCTGAGTCATGTGTCTTCCTATGAGATGACGTGCAAATTCTTTACAGCCTACATTTTGTTTCAGGGCTGGGTTTTATGCCGCGTTCACGAGCTAGGAAATGCTGACATTTTTTATTTGCTGATTTGTTGAACGCGGCACGTGATTAACTACAACTAGTTAGCAAGTCTGAAATTTCAGAGTCTCCTATTTCTGACTAGATGTGAATGCGACATTATGCAGTAGTGTGGTGGAGGGTATTGGTATACCAACTTGTTTTTCAGTGGGCATTGCTTGTTTCTTAAGAGTCTAAGCCGTTGGGGTGGGTTCTAAGCTGACATATGGAATTATTTTAAGATGGTAATTTAGCTATTTGATTTTGTATTTGATTTTTGAATATTTTAGGACCCCTTTAGGTATAAAAAATATATATATAAAACAATTATTTGATCAAATATTGAATTTGGCCTTTACTACTATAGCCCATAGAAACGCATTGAATAACACATTCATAAATGGCATTAGCAGACGCTCTTATCCAGAGCGACTTACAGTTAGTAAGTGCATACATTTTCATAAATTTTGGGTTCTCAGTTGAAGGGATTGACCACAGCTGGCTCCATGTTAACTAAAATCCTGACTCTCTGTTTTAATGTTTAGAAACGTTAAATTTCAGGATTTTGGCAATGAGTCGGAGTCAAATGAACTCGTGGATACCATTTTATGTCTCTGTCCAGTATGAAGGAAGTTAGTTTCGAGAGCCAATGCTAACTTGTGTTAGCGCAATGACTTGTAGTCTATGGGTTGCATGCTTTGGAACGTAAAACCTTCATAACAGCGAGAAAGAATAATTCAAATACAAAATATACTTACTTGTACACAGTTTAGCAACGTTGCACACGGCCGTAACACAGCCTCCGGCCAAGGTCGGACACATCCTCTCACCTTGCGCTGGCATTTCCATTAGACCATACCATTCCATTCAACATTTCCGGTCCGAAACAGGTGTTACTCAAAACACGGCCGGGTGCAACTTTGTTAAACAGCATACAGTAAGTGTATCTTTTGTAGTCAAACATTTTTTCTCATTCATTTGAAAGTTCCAAATGTTTCTAAAACTGTATTTGAGTGCAAAGTGTATTTGCATTTAGACAGAGCATTTGGGCAGCGTCAGGGCATTTCCCTCACCAGGCTAAAGGGGACATCCAATTGATCAATGTAATGCAATGAAAAAACGGAGACACCGGAGAACACCATTGTGTTCGTGAGACTCTCCCCTTTCCATAGAGTGGTCGGGATGTCTCAAGGTCTGACAAACACCACAGATGCGGAAGGACGCCATAGGCGGATGTGGTGGATTGAGACGCAGCCAGTGCAAAAAAACAATATCTAGTTTTAATTGGAGGATTTTGATGGGGATTTTTTGTATTATGTTACTTAGCTTTAATCCCCACTGATACATATCAAAGTAGTGTAGTGGAGGTATACGCCATATCAATGAATAAGGCTGATGGAACAGATCAGAATGTTTAGCTTAAAATGTTAAATATTATTTATTCAAATTTTTGGCGCAGCAATGTACACAAGGCCATAGGTCTATCTGCAAATGTTCCAAAACACAATTTGTGGGAAAACACCTTTCCAAAATGCACCTGCAAGCGGTTTCCTGGACAGAGGTGGAAATATCCATTAGAAATGTAGAAAGAGGGGACATCTAAAGTTGCAACAACTATCATGGGTTGCTAATATGACTAGGAAAATGCCTTTGGCTGCTAGACAATGAAAGAAAGTTGAAAGAAAACCAATAGAACAGGAAAACGCATATGAGGAAGTAATTGCCTCCATGTAATTGCCTCCACATTTCCATGGTGGGATTGTGGCTATAGGCTTCTTTAGCGCACTGGACTGTCTTGACACATTACTGTGTAACTCTGTTTTCCTGAATAAATCCTGTTATTCAGTGATTTACTCTCCTGCGCCTGACTCCTTACAATAACCCATCACAACAACACAAAAAATGATGTTTTTGATCTGCAAATGTAATCCAATAAACAGATAAATGTTTTTTTTGTTTTTATGTTTCTCATTCCAATGATTTGGTGATTGACAGTCACTGTAGTCGGTCATATGACCAGTCCAAATTGGCCTAGGTCAGTGAGACAGTCACTTCTATAACTTTTACAACCTTAACGACTAACCTGTAGCCTATATAATTGTGTATAGGCTCTATAACATGCCACAGATCAACACAAGTTTCAGTTCCTACAAGCTTAGACAACATGACCATATGGGCAGTCAGCCATGGTCAGGTGAATGATCTATACCAATGACAAATGATACCACAGTATGAGTCATAATACCAATGAAACCTAGCTGACAAACAAGGAAATGGTCCCAATTGTTTTTCCACCATACATTTTTCCCAGAGGGGATTTTAGAAACACTTTGATTTTTGATAACCGTGTAAATCTTTCTAGGACAAGGTCACTTTTATCAATTATTTTTGCCTGTATTTACCCCACAAAAATGAAATGCTAATGTGGCTATCATAAAGAACTACAAATGCCATGATGAGACTGCCAAATCGAGGCAATGGTAAGAATATTTGGATTAACTATCTAATGTTAGCTAAATTTAGTCATTAATAAA